CACAAGCATCTGGACTGAGAAATAGATCAACACAAAGTACATGGAAATGCAGACAGTGAATACACAGAGCTAGAATCACTCAGCAAATGAATGAGGACAAAACAACGATTAAGAATTACTCAGCCACCAAACCAATTCCACTAAAAACTTTAGGGTGATGACGAAAGTAATTTATCTCTCTTAAATATTTTCATCCAGAATGGACATTGATTAATGGGGCGATGAACTTGCAGACGGCCAGAGGTGCTGCCATCGATCTTCAGGACTGTCCCCTCCCCCGACCCCCCTGTTCACACAGGACCCATTCAACAGCTTGCGCACCGCATATGAGCTGGGCCGCATGACCCAAACTCAGTCCCAGTCCTGCAGTACCAAACTCAAAGGTAGAAACCCTCTGATCATGCACAAACGAAGGCCACTGCAATGCTGACACTTACAAATAAGACTGTGAATTAAACAGGATTGATAACTACATGAGAGATCAGCTCAGTGCATTAAACCAGGGTCACGACACACCCCACAGAACGGATACTTTGCTGAACCTACCCAAATGAGTCCAAAGTACATATAGGTCTATGAAAGGTCTGAGAACCAACACCGTGGCAACAAAAGCGAATCACACTACACACCATGTATGTACCAGTGCAGTGAGAGTACAGTTAATATGTATGAAGGTATAGAAGTGCGAGTAATGTACAAGTACAGCGTGCATACACTGACATGTCAGTACTATGAGTATGGGTACATTGAGTATGGTGTGTAAATGGTAAATGGACTGCATTTATATAGCGCTTTTCTACTCCTACGAGTACTCAAAGCGCTTTACAATGTATGCCTCACATTCACCATCCACACTCACATTCATACACCAGTGGCGGAGGCTGCCATGCAAGGTACCAACCTGCACACCGGGAGCAATTTGGGGTTCAGTGTCTTGCTCAAGGACACTTTGATGGGGTCAGGAGGAACCAGGGCCTTATAGGTTACTGTGTACAGTGATGTGACTCCTTTATGAGTTCACTATGTACCATACTAGTACATTGATGTGAAAGTTCTGTAAAGTAACGTGCAAGTATAGGACGAGTATAATGCCGAACGAGTCTACCATGATTTGGGTCACACAGACAGAATGGCAGGTTTGTGTGCCCCACGGTTACCCATCTCCCATTGGCTATCACCAGCCCACCAGCTTGTGCCAAACTCACATGCTTGGGACACATGATGTCACCAATGCTGTCACAGACTACTCCAGACCGGGTGTAAAGCAAATTTGCAATACTTCTGCTTTCTGCTCAACCGTTAAGTGCCCACCCCTGTCCTACCAGATCAGAAACCGCAGAAGTTAACCAACCAGTGTTGAGGCGACTTTGCAGCACTCACATCCAACAGAAATCCTGAAAGAGGAACAATCACATTTTGTTCCCCTTATTTTGCTGGAATGATGCAATGATTTTACAGACTCGAGCATCCCATAATTCCCATCTTCTAATTCTTGGCAGTCCAATGCAGTTACATAAGACCTTAGTGTCACCACATACAGAAAGAATATTTCTAGTAGTACATCTAAAAAGAGACGAGATGTGAGGAAGTAAAATCAATGACCATTTCCAGATTGTGCTTCTTGTTAGTCTGCTTCTGTGGGATCAAACTGCCTTTTTACCTGGAAAGGTTGACACATTTCAAACAATAATAGAACTTCCTGTGTAGGGCTGCCTTTTCCCATGACTTACTGAATCCTACCACGTACTGATTTCAATGTCCATTCAGCACATGCATTTCTGAGGAACAATCAAGCCCTAAATGGCCACATAACAATGCGTCACAGCATCCAGTTTATTCAAAAACAAATGTCACTGGAATCCGCAGGACTACTGAGCTCTATCCACCACATTCCTCCTGAAACACGATGAACGCTAAACCCATCCTGAAGGCTACTAGCACCTAAACCTTCTAAATCAGTGTGATTTACGTGACTTAAATCCTAATCAAACGTTATCATACCAGCACTGTGGAAAACATACAGCTGTAACTAACTATAAGCTTGAAAGTCCTTTAATAGATATGACTGCTTTAAGAGTCCATTGATTTCTGGTACTGGATACTGCTTTCAAAGTAAAGGTGACAGAAGCACGCTGCCCATTTCCAAAGCCTGAATACTCCTGATGTTACGATGTACATTGTAGTTTACAAGCTTAAATGCTTATACAACAAAACTATTTATATACCCTTCATAAATAAAGAGATATACAAGTATATGTGCAAAAATAAGAGTCACAAGGTTCATTAGTTCAGTCAATGATGAGAGTATTATCAGTGGTGTTTGGGAGACTTTCACCAACATAAAGGTAAGGAACCCTTATTAGTTTAGTCATATCTACACAGGTTAAGACAGGTATGGGCAATCTTTTCCACAAAGGGCCGGTGTGTATGCGGGTTTTCGCTGCAACTCCCTAATTAGATTACTAATTAGAGGACTGATTGGCGGAAGAGTCCTCACACCTGGGTTTGAACAAAAAACCTGCATGCACACCGGCCCTTTGCAGATGAGATTGGCCACCTCTGGGTTAAGACATTGAAGTTGTAAGTGCCCATCTGTCTTTAGATTCTATATACAAGGATTGCAAAATGTTTAAGTAACGCAAGCAGTGCAACAAGAATTGTGTACAGTAGATGTGGGCTTTTTACAAAATTATCCCACAAAGGAACAACTCACACGGGATGTCCAAAAGAAAACCAGGACCACATCCAAGGATCTGCAGGCCTCCGACGCTACAGGAAATACTTATGCTCATATCTTAAAATGATGCTAGCTGAACGGCAATGACATTCACGGGAGGTAGGCCAGCAGGAAACTTTGGCTTTCATTTTGTTTGGAAAAAGACCCCAGATCTTGCGGATCAGCCTGTGGATGGCTACACAAACTTCCTTTAAAGAGATGACTATGAAATTGATCTTTATGACCACAACGGAAAGCACCACCTACCATAAAAATAATCCCGTTCAAGCAATCAAAAATGGCGGGAAGGTCAGTTCTGCCTGTGTACGTAATCAACTTACCATAAATGAGCGGGCCGTGACTTAAAACAAATATTCAGAAAAGGACATGTACCACAGTTACTATATCTATTACAAACTTTCCAGAAAACAGGCAAAAATTAATTCATGTGTTGAACACAATTCATACAACGACCCAACAGAAACACTGTGATAAGACACAACGCAGGCTGTTCATGCAGTACAGCCCACAAAAAAAAAAAAAAAAAGAACAGTTGAAGCAATTCTCAAGGCAAAAATGGGCAGAAATTCCTCAAAGACTGTGTGGGGGACCAAGCAGCAACTACAGGAAACATTTGATTTCATCCGTGGCTGTTAAAACTCCTATAACCAGCCAGGATTACACAGGGCCACTCACTCCTGTGCGCAGGGATTTTGCTTTTGTTAGTCATTAATGAAAACATGTTTACCTAATAAAAACAACAGTGAGCCGGTCTGTTTTTCATGCAATCCTCATCATACTATGAGTCAGATAATCTGCATGTACACATGAAGGGTTTGCACACTTACAGGCAGCTCTGGTCTTTAAAACAACCGTTTAATTTTGGTTATGAATCACAGGCAAACCGCTTTGGCAGCAGATTAAGGCCAAGCCTCCAGAACGTGATAGGACTGGTTGTAGCAGGAAAATTCAACACAAGCTCACACGTCAAAGTTCAGCGAAGGACAAACGGGGGATGGCGCAGTTCTGCAAAAACCTGCGGGGAGCGTGCGTGTCCCTTTAAACAGCCCCGCTTCGACTCGCTAGGTGGCTCTTTCTCTCTGCCTATCTTTGTTAAAGGGGGGTATTTAAATGTACAACTTCGCCTGTCAATCACAAGACCCAACCATCGCCGACCCAACCGTCTGCCCATCTTCCCCGTCTGCAATTTATTTCACACGCTTCTTAAAAAGCCGGCCGAAACTTCCTTAATGATCGCCCTTCACCTCTGCAAAGGCAGCGATGAATAAAAACTCCGCACCACACTGCATGCGGGGGGAGGCGGGTCGAAACGAAGCTGTGATCCCAAAAGAAGACACCATATCCTCCCTAATTATCCCTCGTGTAACCTACAAGAAAGCGGAAAAATGGCAATAATGTCCATGTCACAACGTGTACATCGGTAAACGTAAATAAATTAAAACAATTTTAAATTACAGGAACAGAAACTTTAACTGGACAGAGTGAATACTGTTCTATTAACGGCACATAACAAACCACAAGAAAATGACTTTATCTGGGGGACAATTTGACATTTTTCCCGTAAAATGTCGGCGACCGACGGCTAGATATCAAAACTTTTAGCCATGAACCGGCGACTACCAACGTCGATAATAACCTCGATAATAATAACGTCGATAATAACCTGTCACTGTGGGGTTTGGCAACACGGTGCCACCAAGTTTGACAGGACTTTCTCCGCTGGAAAAGTTGAACACCTACGGGGGGGTCGGCTGCCTGGTGACAGCGCCGGGAGTCGGGGCCGGCGACGCAGGGAAAAGCAGCCCGGAACTCAGTGCTCCGCGCCGCCGGCATCGGCAGCCCAGATTGGACCGGCGGCTTCGGTTCTCCCAGCACATCGACACCGACACCTCGACACGCCGTCGTGAGGGGGGCACAATCGCGGACCACAAGCCCGCTCCCTCCGCTTGCCCTGCTGAGCTTCCCAGACCCACGGAGGTTAAAAGTGGAAAGCAGGGCAGTTTAAATTGTCAAAGGGAAAATGCCCGTCCGGCCGTGGCCATTTAATACAGCTTTCAGTGTGGCGCGACGGGCCCACCATCCGCGGACATTTAAATAACTAGAAGCGACGAGTGACAATAAAGGCACATGAAGACCCCCCTCGAGCCCTCAGATCGCAGCTGACACCGCGTAACCCCCCGGAGCGTCCCGACACGGATTACCGGTCCGCCGGTAAGGCACGCCGCTTTGGGTACCGTCACAGAAGAAGAAAATAACTCCGTACCTGCCGTGGAACCAATCCTTACAAATGTCGCATTCGATCATAAACCGGTTCACGTCGTAGGGCTGCCGGCAGACGCAGTACAGCGGGACCGCCGCCGCCATCTTCCTTCTGTTCCCAAAACAACGCAGCGAACGCAGAGCGGGGCGGAGACTCCTACGGTGGAGAGCGGAAACAGCCGAGGGCGGTACGAAGCGTAAACGAAGCAAGGAGCCAATCGGCGTCGGGCAAAGCAGACTCCTGACGTCAGTCTTACCACATTCTTTAATTTAGTCCGGTCGTAAACAAGGACGATGGAACAATTGTATATAAAGAATCATGACGTTTTAGAATTGCATCATTAGCAAATTTTAATGAAAGAAACAAAAAAGGAGAAAGCACAGAAAGTCATATACCTGTTATAACCCACACATTAACACGACAGTGAATATATTTTCCGGAATGCTAGCCTTATTACTATAATATTGGATGTTGAAATAAAGTGAAAGACCATTGTGGCTGATATATCACCTTTTATAAACATATTTCCCATTGACGTTGAGCTTTAATATGAATGGTTGTAATGAGCGAAATTAAATCGTGTTGCATAAGGCTCAATTTACAGACAGGTATATCTATACTAACAGCCTAATATAAAGGAATTCGATGTGTAAAAATTGCGAGTTTATTTTCTGTGCAGTAATTGGTGGGTTGTCGTGTTATTTGACAGCGCACCAATTAACTATCACCCAGTACTATTGTTGCTGAAACACAAGCTGTCATGACCCTACAAACACACTGTGATATAATCCCAGATACCAGAATTCAGTCGGAGTTATCTGAAATTCACATACAAGGAAGCACGCTTCGGTTTTAAGAGTTTTTTCATTGTTCTTCCATTGTGTGCAATAATCCAGGCTACTTACGTATTAAATCCCACTAAGGCTGTTGACTCGACCATCATTAACATCAGTATTTTGAGTGTCTTTGTATCGAGTTGAATAATTCCCTATATTAATTGTACGTTGTCTGTTATAAATTAAGTTATAAGTTGTAAATTAAGACGTACAGATGCCCCCCATCCCCATGCAGGTACTCTAGGTTCGGGTTTCTGCAATAGGCTATGTGTCACATTCATTTGACGTCGCTGGAGCAGAACGTGGTTGACGTGTGATACGTGTCTCCGCGTGCTGAATGGAAATTCCATACGAGTTCCCATGCATTTTCCTCGCAGCCGCCAGCTGTGACACATCTTCCCATCCCTAAATCTAGCCTCACACCCCCGACCGGCCGATACGTCTTTTTAAACCTTTAAAATATCGTTTTGCTTACTCATTGGCCAAGAAATAAGCCAATCGGTGTATTGTGCAAATGTGTAATTGATACCAGTTTTTATATTTGATCTTTCTCCAAGCGATTGTAACTGGACCTCCATAAATGGAAAGGGCGTCTCGCTAACTGAGCTATCTGAGCAAATAAAGGAGCTCGTGGGATTCATGGAATAACACACCATAGCGGCTGGATCCCAGGCATTCCCTAATGAGCTGCTATCGGAACCAACAGCGTGTCATCAGTTGAAGTAGAGAAACCAAACTCCCTAGAAATAGCAACTTGATGTCGGTACAAGAGAAAAGCCAAGTGTTGGTCATATTTGTTTTTTTCCCTCAGGAGCAAAACCGAGTGATAATAGGCTATTACGTGTATTTAATTATATAAGTCAATCATGCATTATTTTTCCATTTGATATCAATCGCGGTGAGATGATTTCCTGGTAGGTTTTCAATGGGTGGCATCCAGAGCAGGTCTCATTCAGCGCGCGCAGCGTGTTGTACGTCCCGTCCTTCTGGAGGCAGAAGCCAGTTAATTACATTTGTACAATTATAGATATGACGCGTTCAAGAAATTGATCCTCTGCAGGCTTGGATCGAAAGATCAAGAATATAATTAGGCTAAATATGGCATTATAATGATGGTTATTACTTTATTCCAGTGTTCCCGGAAATAATCATACATGTTATGAGCTACAGATTTCATTACTTTCTTCTAAATTAATAGACGAATAAATGAATAAAACAAACACTGTAATGTGACTTGCGCCATTGTGTGCATTTCGGGTGTGTGAATTTGGGATAAAGATCAGCATGCAAACTAGAAACGACAAAAAAAGATGAAAAATGAATCGAAGTAGTTCAGTAGGACACAGCCCTGACTCAGCTGTGATGAGAGATACGCTTCGAAAGCGTGCCGCTCGAATCCCTTTTATTGTTATTTTTATTTGGGTTTTGCTGTCTTTCTAAAAAGCGGGAAACGGGCGCCACCTCGTGTCTGCGTTTTAGAAGCGCAGGGTTTAAAAGTTCAGCAGCAGCGACGAGACGCGGCCGCCGCAGCGGCCAATCAGATCGCTGGCACAAAACTTTGTAAACAACAGATCTACACGTTGCTCGGAAAAGACGCGTTTTAACGGGATTGTATAAATGCACTTGAGACGCCCGGTGGGACGGTCCTCCGCTTTCAAGGTTTGCACTCTTTTTCATTATTTACAACTTTATATGCGCTGGGTAAACGACGATTAATAACACTGGCGGTCCGATACTCGTTGCTGCTTGTGCTGAATCTAAGAGCAAGTAGGATGTTGTTAGACATCCGGGACGGTCAAGAAAGAGAAAGGGTACGGTTAGTGTCAAATATTTTACAGCACAGGGACATGCGATTTTATCGATTAGTCCGTCGTTGATGACATATATCGTGGTTCCTGCCGCCTTACGCGATCCAGATCAGCGACAAGGAACCGTTTAGTGTAACGAACCAGCGACATTGTTGCGCAACAATTCCGCATTGGTGTAACGTATTATATTCCGAAAATGACTATGGAAATCTGTCATATTATGAAAAATCTTGAATACGGAGTTATAGAAACTTTTTCGTTGGTCTTTCACCACCCACTTCAACTAAAATACATTAAAAAATGAAAACATGTAGCCTACTGTATAGTTTTATATAACACATGAAACTCATAACGTAGTCGACAGTGATTCGTCTCTACGCTTGTTATTAATGCTAATATTAGGCTACTTAATGAATGGTTTACTTGTATTCAAGTATTAACGCTGGTAATCTATATTTATGTCTGAATATGGGAGTAACTAACGTTACTACAGTGTGTTTGGTCGTGAAATTATATTTCCTTAGCCTGTGTCGTTATAAGTGTTTACTGTAACTAATGTAAGGCTTTTTTTTTTATTGTCTTGTAAATCTCATGTTAGGGCTATACTGTGTTTTGTCTCGTTATTTTGTTACGTGATGTAGGTCATTACAGATATTTCCTGTCATAAGTACGGACTGTGATTCAGGCTTAAATGATGAGTACGTGAGTCGCATTGCGGTTACTTTTATGGAAAACGACTACTTCCAAAAGCTAGTAAACCAGGGGATGAAAGCTTCCAAATGAAAACAGTGCGGTTGAGGTGATTCACAAGTGACTATATTAGTACCAAAACGCATGCAGTTCAAGAAATGGTTTTGTATGTTGGTAAACATTAAGTCTATTTGTCAGTTTATTCTGAATCACTTCTTTTGGGAAAAGTGACAGTGCTGGTCTGTTCCAGTGACTCATACGGTGCTGTGACTAGGCATCCCTGTTTTGGGATGTTTGATGATTGTTGCTCTCGTGATGAGAAACCATCAGTGTTTCACAGACCAGAGGGGTGTTCCCCGAAGCAGGATTTCTTGTCTAGCCAGACAACTTGACGAATTTAAGGTAATCTAGACTGAAGCTTCCTCTTAAGGGGCTTTCCTATCAATTTTTTAACAGAAAAGTCTCAGCGTAATTCCATCAACAAAACCAATTTCACAGCACAGTTACCAAGATAACCAAATATGGGTGTCATCAATCGGTTCTGGTGAGCCAGTTATTTCCATCTGCAAGCTTTCTTTTGTTATCCACCGGCATCTTCATGGAGAACAAGCAGACACACACCAGTCAGGTGTGACCTTCACAGAAAAAGGTAAATAGAGAGCTTGTCCGACAAGCCGCCTGCAAAATGGAGAATGAGGTGAGCTCTTCAGGAATGAAGAGAGGGATCGTCACCTGATCAGCAGGCAAATTAATTTCCTGTCAGTTAACTGTTTTCAGGAGACAATCCTGTGATATAAAGGACCACTAAGAGGTCTCTGTTTTTAACCAACATCTTAAAAGATGGTGTTTCCTTTAATCCTGCATGGACTGTTTGGCTTTATTTTAGAGGCAATTAAATGGAAGAGCATACTGTTCAATTAAGCCATTTACAGGCAGTTTGTTAATTGCGCCAAAAGCCGTATGTCTTGTGATGATGTTAAATAAAACTTTTTAATTCTCAGAAAGCATTCTGTTGGTTAATAGATTCATATCAACATATGTTTCTCAGAAACCGCTTGGTATTTTCCAGCATATCTCAGAATTCAGGTAACATGAGCAAACATTCTGAGAAAATCTTTTGTAAAATGGCTTTGTTGTTGTTTACAGTTGAAAGCAGACACAGTGCACTGCGTGGTCAAGGCACTTGGCGTTTTCAGGTAAAGCTTAGCAGTATTCTGCATTATCAGAGTTTGTTTTAACTTTTAAAATGTCATTCATTCAGAATAGAATAGTCACTTTTATCGTCATTCAGAAATACACCGGTTAGTGCACAAGAGAACGAAATTTTGTTGCATTTTATGCTCACCATCGGCCTGGCAGAGTGTGTGTAAATATATATACAGTATATATTAACCGCAGTATAGCAGCAAAAGAAAACCAGTGTACATCACCGTATCAGTTTAGTGCAAGACATATAGTGCATAAAGTTCTTGAAAAAGTGACATGTGCATGGATGGAGAGAGGTGGAGTGTGGGGAGGGGGGTTGGGGGGCTGTCATGAGTTCAGGAGTCTAATGGCTTGAGGAATGAAACTGTTTCAGACATAAGAAAGAGAAGCTCAGCAGACTCAAAATAATTTTTCTTCATCGAGTTAGAGAATTATTCTAATGTCGGAAAGTCTTGTCTTGGCGGGGGGGGGTGGGCTAGGAGTTGGGTTCCCGAACAGGAAGTGACACGCCATCACAAGCTGTTTACAGGCAACTCTTTGCGGCTAAATCGAACTTCAACAGAAGCTGCCCGACGTCATGACTTCCGGCAGCAGGTGTCAGAAAGGAACAGTTACTCAA